CGTAGAGATGGAAATTTCGTATCTCCCGATCCGTTCTTCGTAATTTTCCGCGTAATCCAAACAGCTGCAATTCCGAGGGACGATAAATTTTTGTTATTCACCGCGTTCGTTTCCGATGTTGTCAATTCCGTTTAAAAATCTCGCCTCGCGTTGCCAGCTTCGACATCTGGATGTACCCGGTAATATATAGAGGTGTCTGCGTTGCGGATCTCGTGTTCCTTTTTTTTTTTTTTCGTCGCGGGGTCCGTTTCGCCGGCAAGAGGGTGGCTCGCAGTGGGTGTGCCCGGCGATGATTAATTAGCGTTTGATGAATATGTATGAGAGAAAGTCAACCAACTCTGTTACACGTACACACAGCGAAACAGGCACATCCCCTGCGTTACAATAACGTCCAACCCCCTTCGTATACCTCGTTTCAACCCTGATAGCCCTCTCTCTATGCTTCACCTCGACGGATTCTGCGACTCCTTCGTGAGCTGTATAACAATGTATTTTCGGATAAAAATTTTTGTTAGGGCCCGACGTCGCTCGCGACCATCCGTTATGATTTAACGTCAAGCTTGTACAGCAAGGGTGTACGAAAAATTTCGTCAAAATATGCTGAAAAAAGGAGGAACGTTTCGGGTGATTAATGTTTAAGATCATTTTAATATTTTCATTCAATTGTTATATAATATTGTAGAATAGATAAACAAAAATAATTTTTAATAAATAGCCAGTGTAAGGGTGAGTTCTTTTTAAAATTTTCTAAAAACTGAGAAACTAAAATATAGGCAGTAATTAAAAAATTATTATATTTTGGAATTGGTTATTTTGATAATAGTGCAATGTAAAAATACATTAGACAAAGGGTTAAAATGACAATATTTTCTGTTTAGAAAATTTCAAATTCTAGCAGGGTTGAACTTTAATGTCTGATCCGATGGTGAAACGTTTCACAGTGGTATCCATCAGTATCACGTAAACTAGTGTTGTATCGCGGCAAAATATCACCTCGGGACAGTCGGCCGAGGGGTTTAGATTTTGCCAAAACGCGAGGCTGAAAGGCTGCCGTGCGGATTGTTCGCGCTGCGAGGAGAACAATGCAAACAATGGCGGGGACGAAGCGCTGCGGTGAGACCCGGCTTACGCGGTGAATACAATTACATTATGAACTCGATTACCATTTAAATGGAAACAAACGTGAAATGCTAAAATACACCGACGATTCTCCGCCTCCAACCCGCGCCGCAACTCTCGGCAACACGCGCGAAAATGTGCAACCGCCTCTCGAGTGCTCGATCATCGATATGCAAATTGTGTGCACAGACGTGTAAGGTCTCGCGTTTCTCGTGAAAAATATGCAGCCTAAAAAAATGTGCTTTTTAAAAAATATACTTGTTCTTAGGGTTAAAGCGACTTTTTACATAGGTAGAATAATATTTATTAGGAAAATAAATCTAATGAGAGCAGCATTTTAATTTTTGCTACTATTAGATAAATTTTTAATTGAAAAAATTTTGAAATTTCGAATTACGATCATCTCGAATCTAACGAACAATTTTCAAGAAATCTAAGTCCCTTGCATTACCCGTCGACGAATTCTAATTATTATAATTTAGGCACAAAGTAATTTTTTAAAGTTTAAAAATGATTCATTTATTAATAAATTACAAAAAGGTTTCATAGACACGATACATTTCTAATATAAATATTACAAATTCAATCAGCTATTATTAATTTGAGAAATGACAAAAGTGAAATTTTCGAAATTTGTTTTTGCTTTTTCCTGAAATCTATTTATACACTTTGGGCCGACACGTTTTCGTGTGAAATTCGCGTCGTCGTTCGCGCAGTTTACTCTCCTGCCGTGTGGTGGTCGTCGAGCGAAAAAAGAGCTCCGTTTAACGTGTCCCATCAGCACCCCAATACTAATTATTATACACTTAATTTCCTAATGAACCGTATCGAACGACAGGGTCGATGGAACGGCGCACTCGTGCACTGATTTCACGGGCCACCTGTCGCACTGCTGTCGTACCCTCCCCATTGGTTTCGTCGAATTGGACACGCAGGGTGTAAGACATTATTCTACACGGGGGATCATGAAAAGTCGATGAAGACACGAGACTTTCTCAGGCTTCTCCTCGATTCTTTATTAGGAACTTCGGTAAAGATGGAATCGACTGTGAAATTTCTTATTCAGCCACGTTTGAATAATGATATATGTTATATGAATATTTTAACCCTCGAAAAGCGGAGTTTGGGTCAATTGAAACTTAAACTTATAAAATATATACAAAAATATTAACTTAAAGTTAAATATATAATTTATAAACGAGATTTTCGTATATTGGAAGAATAATTTTTAAAAGAAATTAAAATTGTGACTCTCTTCGTGGAAAAATTATACATATATTTTTAAATTTGTCCTAATATTTATTTTCAAAGAAAAGCAACGGTTTTGGATTTTTACACGAGCCATCCAACAATATCTGATATTGAATGATTCTGTGTAGCACGTGTTCCTGGTTCTAGAATCCACAAAAGAATGGAAACCGGAGGCGTGTCGCTTTTACTGTTCTGTTTGGACGTTTTCGAACAAAAGCAGTATCAATATTTCTTTCCTTTCTGTGGTCATATGGTTTGATCTATACATCCTTTGTACCCGTCAAATATTTAACGTTTGACAGCAACATATTTGTTTCTTTTTTGTTGCATCGAGTACACCATGAAGAATAACAAAAAAATTAATCCATATTTTAAATAAAAATTTCTTCAATTTCCTAAACATTTTTTTAGTTACGTCATTCTTACATAAGCCATCCATTTACCAAATTAATTAATTCCAAAAAAGAACCAAAAATGAAGAAACTAATAAAATATCAAAATTTATGCATCAAATTTTAACAAATTCAAAAAGTGAAATTAATCAGTTTGATCTCTGAACGGCTCATATCAAAGCAATGATATATTTTTCAGTTCATTTTCAAATATTAAGAAGTCATGTTAAGAACAACGAGAAAAAGAATTTCTGATTTCGATAGACTGGTGGTTAAAGTCGGCTGCCATTCGATATTGAAGAACTACCAGTGAACATACGGTATAGAAAAACGAAAGAAAAGAGAGAATGGATCCCTTGTAGATAGATAGGTGCGGTCACTGTCACGAGGGTTGACAAAGGCTGACCAGGGGTAGAAACATTCAAATGGTAATCGGCGCGCGTCTAACATACATCGACCCTCCCGACCCTTGTGCTCGCGCTTAAGGGGGTGCGAGCACCCTCTTGCTATACACCCTGCACATTCACACCAGAATCAAACCAAATATTGGCAATATCATCCCTGGCATTGCTCTCCGCGACCTGCCTCCTACACTCGCTGGGAAACGATGTCCATTTGAATGCACGATTCCATTACCGACCTCTATATATCGGCTTCAAGATATTATGGGATTAGGATTTCAAGAGAAATCTGGAAAAATACTCTGTAACCATATTTCGGTACCAATCATTTCATGCTGATAATAATTGTAACATTATCAAATTTATATAAGTAATCTTTTTCAATCGATGATTGAAATTTTTGAATAAGTAAATGACTCGATATAACATTTCTAAATTAATAATGAATTTAAAATTACAAATATTTGCTTGAAATAATGAAACCTGAAATATTAGCAATTTTTTTACCAATTTAAGCTGTGGTTCTTCCGTTTAGATGGCAAATTATTTTCTGACTGAGAATGGTTATAAGAGATCAGCTGGTCGGAACAATTATCTCGTAAAACGGTTGGCAAGGATTTGTCGTTCGTATTCACGGATAGGTCCGTGATTCGCGATCGATGTTGATTCAGTGCGCTGAACGTCGCACGTGCGCCGATGTAGACGTACGCAAAGCTCCCGCAACCCGAACTTCAGCACGCGCCACGATTATGCGATTACGCGATTACGCGTGTCGTTGCCTGTATCGCAACCAGGGTGCCGAAGAAGAGGTCCGTGGATGATACCGTGCGCGAGTAACGACACGAAATGCCACTGTCCCGTATCAAAATAACCTTAAACTTCCTTTTATTGGATTAATTGACACCTTTAGTAAATTCTTCCTTCTCTTTTTAATTTATAAAAGGGTGCACTTGATTTTAGGGGACCGACAATTTTTAGTCAAAAAATATCAAATCTCGAGGTTTTCGATCTGAAACATCCGAAAATGCAAATTAAAAGTCTAGTTTTGAGAAATTTGAGAGATTTGAGTCATATTGCTACTTATAAAATAAAAGTATTACGTGTACTATTCATAGAAATTCTTAAAAATATAAAAGTAATTGAGTATTGAATTATTTTAACACCCAATAGCCACTGTAAAAATATTGCAAAATATTAATTAACTAGCAATATGTGTAGAGGGTGCAGGTATCTCGCACAACGATGAAAGGATAGATGACCCGAAACTTTCAGCGATATTATAAATCACGCACGGTATTAGAGCACAATGCTCCATATCCTTCGTTCATAGTTGAAGAACATTTAAAATCGTAGTAAAGCGTCCGCGCGCGATCCTGCCTGTGAATCAGCTAGCAGCAAGAATTAAGGGAGGTAGGAGTGATACGTAGTGGCGGCACGAGCCGACACGTGACGGTACCGCTTTATACAAACAGCATTATGCACGATCGTGCTAACATAAATTACTGTGGGTTTAATATTGGACGTCGACGTTGGCCATGGCCGACCACCTCCTGAGCAAAACATGTTAAATGCGGGGAATCGAGCACATTCGGCCACGATACGCTTCCTTTGAATCTTTCTCATCGATCAGGTGTTCAATTTATATCTTGCTATACCTAGGGATTAGAAAGATAAATTATAATTTTATTTAATACCAAGTGAAGTTCATCAAATTTTCTATTATTGTTCTATAATTCTCTTTCTATGAAAATATGAAATTAAGACACAAAGCAGATAAGAGTTAATTATTTACTAGGGTCGTATAAGAATTTTCTTGACAGGATAATTTCGCGAGATATCATGTATCAATAGGAGAAAAAGGAAGGAAGAATTGAAATAATTCGTGAATCGTGGTACAAACAGCTGACTACTTAAATGCAAATGAAGACAGAAAGACGGTCGTGTATGAATGGCGGCATTCGAGGAAAATCTTGGTTAAATTTCACAATAAGCTCTTTCACGGCTCTTAAACGTGAAAGCGCTTGTAAGCGACTTTAGGGAGCCTTACTAGGCGCCCTTGGAAAGCAGCCTGAGCGTCTGTAAAGGCGAGAATGAACGAAAGGAGGGAATGGAATAGGCTCGATAAGTGGACACCCTGTGGAGAATGATGGAATGCAGACCGCTTGCATGAATTAAACACGTTCAACGTTTATGAATGAAGCCAGATCAGAATCGAAATTCCTCAAAGTCGATGTTTCGAGGGTGGATGAACTAGTCCTAATCTTCTGGTAAAGGAAATCGAAACCGGATGTTCATCCTTGGGTGTTCTTGGGTGAGATTAGAAAGGGTTGTGGGAAAAGAGGTGAAACCAGTTTTCATAATTATTTCAAAGTTTCAGGTTTCAGGGTTTAAGACATAGATGTTATCAATTTTTGGGTAAAGGGAATTATTTATTGCGGCAAAGATAATTCGATTTTTACATCGGTAGTACAATTATTTTACAGGTCATCAAGTGTTATAGCATTATAAAAATTCAGTGTTTATAATTAGCAATTTATGTTTTGTAAATTGAGGTAATGATAATGACTTCTTGAATTTAGTATTAAAAAATTGGAACTTTTCTAATTATCCTGGGTACACTTATTTTAAAAAATAAAAATAATCTCATTTGAAATGTAACATTAAAAAAAAATTTAGATGCCTAACTTCTTATTTATTTATTTATTTCATTGTGATTGAAATATTTTCTAAAAATCACACAACTGTTATTTTCTTCAAATAATTACATCTGAATCTCTCAACGCAGTTCACGTTAGTCATTGTACATTTGTTTAACGAATTTTTAACCACTTTAATTTTCTAACATTGTATATACATGTACTTTTAATTGAAATTTGAGGAACAAAGGTGTGGATAATTACAGGACGTGCTATAATGGCAGAAGTAACTTACACGTATATTCGAAATCCTTACCCGCTACCGGAAGTTACTCGAGAAGGAGATTGGAAACGACGACCCGTGCTAGGTAATAAAGTTTCACCGAAGGATAGAAACTGGAGTACCAAGTTAAAACCCCATGAACGTCTCTTTGCACATCATACGCTAAATAGTATACGGAAAGATAATAGACTTATGAGATCACAGGTAACGCGTCGTGAGTTAACCTTCATCTATCATCCTCTCTAAACTTTTCTTCTATTCTTTCAATCTTTCATTACAACTTAACAAATTCTATTTAATATTCAGAATAAAAAATATAATACAAAAATATTTCATTCAACATTCATTTGAAAACTGTCTAATTCTAAGCTTATTTTAAATATTAAAGATTTTGGAGTCATAAATTTTTTCAGGTACCAAATGACTCACTGGATTTGGCACTTACAACGGTGTACATTCATAATGAAGATACATTGGTACCTAAAATGTACGTCCCCATGCAAGCAGAATCATTAGGAAAGAGGACCTGGCGTGTTTTGAAAAATAAAATTGAGGTAATCATTATCAAGACCATTAGAAATTTAATGATCGTACATTTTATAGAAACATTCAGGTACCTAATATTTATTTATTTGTAAATCATTATTTTACTTAAAAATTTAGGAAAATAATTTAAGTTACAAAACAATACAATACAATCTGTATTTTTTTATACTTATTTTTGTTTACAAGCTATTTTATCACATTACACAAAATTACTTATTTATATGTATATGTAATTACTAATATTTCATTATTTTAATGAATAATCAAAATGTTAATTTGCAACGTGAAATTTAAAATAATTACACTTCTCTAACTAACGTAGATAAAGTCTCCGATAATTTTCGAAGAAGAGGATCCGATATCTCTGTTCCTGAAGAAAGCAGAATGTTATCATGGCCGGTTGCCAGAGAGAAGAGTTCACCCGAGCAGCGTGAAATTAAATATCACCGGTCCTCACGCAGTTCAATCTAATCCCGGATACAGTCGCAAAATTGACGGAACTTTTTACGGTATTTAAAGAGTATTTAAACACGGATTTATACGGTGTTTGAGATGAAAACCGTACCAACGAATCTCTGCTAACAATCGTATTTGAGGAAAATTAAATCGACGATTTTATGATTATCATCGCCGTTGTCAATCGCTTTTGTATGTTTATGAATACGCTCTTCAATTTCGTCGATAAATCTATACGTTTAATAAATGTAACGTTTAGCTAGACACATTCTACATTCCAATTGAATTTTATCAAACCGCATTTATGTTTCAATCGCTTCACGTGTGTGCTATTAGGAAACAATGAAAATCATAAAACATAATGGAGAATATTATCGCGTATAATCCAATGTAATTGAGTTTCGGGTACACGAATAAAATGTGCTGGACAAACTTTCGGGATCCCGTCTAAACCTGATAAAAATCCCTCTTAACAAATTAATTGTATAATTAAATAAATAGTAACTGTATTTCGTTTTAAGGAATTAAGGAGATAAACGTAATCATTATTGGCGACGATTAAAATAATTCATGTTAAAGAGTTATGAAATCATAGGAATCGTTTGATACATCAAAACAACCCTCGCGCAACACCCTTCGAACCTATCAGATCGCATCTGTACAAGAGTGTTGACAAATTTCCTCGATAGATATCGGCGACACCATAATACAGTGTTGGAAATCTTGGCCAGGAATCTCCCGACTCGTAGTTTCGGTATCATCCCTTCGATGAGGAGGCGAGCAAAAGCGTGAGTCAGTGCATAGGACGTTCTCAGTGTTGAACAGCCGAAGGGACAGAATGTCCCATTACCCGAGTAATCCTTGTTTGTAATAAACCAGCACCCTGCTGCCAAGGGGGGTGGCGGCCACCCTCGCCGCACAACGTCGCGGAGGTGGAGCCATCTCCGTACGCATATGCTCCTCATGGAATATCATTTATGTTTCACCCTGTGCAGACGTCTATCTTGCCCCCGTTTGACCTGCTCAACCCCTCTGGCACCCTCTTCCAGCAGCCAGCTCGATCCTTATACATACGCCTAATCCGGCCATGATTGCCGCGGCGACCGCCTCGTCACGAAAACTCCTCCTCGGCTCGTGCTCGCTCACCCTTTTTCCTTCCCAGCATCCCCCCTTATCTTTTTAACGACATTGGAAGGTGAATTGAAGGGGAGCTGCCAGCAAGATTATTGTTTCGTTGTCGATTTCAGAAACTGTTCTGCATTCTTTGTCCTATCAGGCTCTGACGTGATGGAAATTTAATATGTTGGTTGGATGATGGACATTGGCGGATGTAATATGGTAAGTTATAATGATAATTATTAAGAATAGGATTATTTAATTATTTGATGTAATTTCTGGATGGTTTTATAATATGAATATGATACTATCTTGTAGGTACTGAAGGAGTTGAAGGACATAGATAAGAATTATTACCCTTTTGTAAAAATATATTCTTTATTTACGATTTTTTATGTTACAGATTTTATAGAACATAATTCACTAATTAATCATTTTTGTCACTGGAAATTAGTATATTTAAAACAATCATAGGTAACATTGTTTTTTACATTGTTATTGCATTGTTTTACATTGTTTATTACATTGCATACAGTAATACCTATACCTATTTAACCCTCAGATGGCGGACCATGGAGAGAGCCCCAATTTTAATTTTTTTCTTTTTTTTCGGAAACATTTTTTTCTATTTTCCTATTATTTATTCAATGATATTAAATGAATGTTGTTGGTGATTAATTATATGTGAGGTTGCTTCAAAATTGGGTCAATCATATTGATAAAACAAACTTAAGCTTAAAGCCTATATAAAAATGATACATTTTCAAACAATTCTACATACCGGTTACATGAATATTCTCGCTCCCTTATTAAGTAAGCACTTACATCGTTAAGTAAACATCAGTCGTGGTGGAAGAATGAAATAATTCCCTCATGGATTACGACACGTCGAATGTCTATCGATGTGGATCCTTTTCTTCCTCGGTTAGGGTGTACAGAAAGTGGAATAAGGGTGGAACGATTCTGAGACCGTCGCGGGTAACGAGCGAGGTAACCAGCCAATTACTTGGCTGAACGATTTTATTTGTATTTAATTCTTATTTAATTTACTTTTTACGGTCGCCTTCTTTGGAGCTCCGTTAACGAAATGGAAAATTTCTACATCGTTGCGATGCGTCGAAAACGCGTTCATTAAAAGAAAGAAGAGAAAAGAAATTTAATGAAATGTTTAATGATCGAACACGTTTGACGATCGAATGGTAATAGAAGCGATGATCGATTTGCTATCTTCTTGATTCCTGAGCGCATACGTTTACTCGAAAAGGAAATTCCGCGTAAAAGTCGCAGCAAAGTCTCATTGATCCCTCCGGGATGAAGTTGTTATTCCAGTGAACTTGTTACGTTATATTTATCAGCACCATGCACACTGCCACCACCCGTCGAGCTTTATCGTTCCTTCCGGTCCCATTTTTGCTCCCTCGACTTTATTCACCTACGTACTGTCAAGACAAAGCCGCAAACGACGTTATAAAGGATAGCTAGAAATAGGCTGTATTAGAACGAATGATGCGAGTGATTTTCTTTGACGTTTACCAGTCCCCAAACGATACGTATGGAAAGTTATTAATCAGAATTCTGCCAATATGAATTCACATCTACCTTTTGATATTTTTTAATTTATAACTTGTATAAATATTTGATTTTCCGTCACTATGTATCAATAAGTGAAAAAATTAATTAATAAATTATGGAGTAATTGATAATCTGATCCGATTATCCAACCTTACCCGGCTCCACTCGATTCTACCCGAATGTATTCAACTCTCCTCAGCCTTACCCGATTCTACCCGACCTTACCCGATTCTACTCGACCCTATCCCACCTGATTTTGACAATACACAGACAACCCGAGTATCGGATACACGAAATTTGTAGATTCTCACACACCCCTAAAAAATAACAATTACCAATTAAATTATTTCTTGGAATATTTTTTTAATTATAATTGCAATAATCAGATTTTCTGCGAGATTACTTTTGTAAAATATTAAAGTGTAAAAATTGAATTGTGTCCAAAGTCTTCTGTTTGCAAGAATAAATACGAAAGAGCTTAAGAGGGTACGTGCTTCATCAAATAGTAGAAGGTTCGCGGTCGGAAATTTACCCTCTATTCCAGTCGATCTGCTTTCTCAGCCCCTATAATACAGAGAGAAAGCCACCCTCTTTCTAGGAGGTCAGATCTATACGAGTGGTAGCTTATGAAGCTTATTTTTTAATTTCTCTTCAATATGTTGCCACGCCACCCAAGTGTTTGTCTAACGTTTTAAAGTTATTTCAAAACAACTCGACACCAACGTCCCACCACCCAATGGGCTTTCAACTGCGATTGTCTCTTCTATTAGAATAAGGGGGAAACGAAATCACGATCGGAGACTCTGTGAGAACGTACAACGCCTTCATTTTCTTTTATTATTTAAATAAATACACTGCACTCTTTCGAGGACCTGTTTTCTTTCTATTCTTTCTTTTAAAACGTAACACGACTTCTTATTAACTCGAGATTGAATTTTCATTTTTATTTTTAAATCTATAATTACTTTTAGGACATTTATTTATCATAAATAATTTGTTCAATTGCTATAGATCTTTTATTTTTTTAGAAATGCGGTTAAGTTGATATACAATTTTCAAAATTCTCCGTAAATTCGACAATCTTTCGCTTCACATCTGCCACCCTTCGTCCCTCACCCTCGTTCTATTTTCGTGAAGACCTAAACACAAAAACTGGTAGCAATATTGCTTACCATTTTTTTTTTGCTCCTTTTTCGTCGAGCGAAAGGAAAGCGGATTAAAAAGTGAAACGGTGGAGAACGGAAGAAAAGAGGGTGAAAAAAAATAGGAAGACGGGTTCCTAAACGACGCTGGAAGGTCAAGCCCGAGATTACGAAAGGCTCGTGCGACGTTTGCTCGTTAATTAGGGAGTTCTAATTATAGTAAATGCGTGAGCAGAAGCAAGGTACGCGGAGATCGTGCCACGGCAGAAGCTCGAGGGATCAAAATGCAACCCTCCGCGAACGAGCCAAGATTACCTTCGAGGGTCCTCACCACCCCCTTACTAAGGCCAGGCCCAACCTGTGACGAGTCCTTCCCTCGTGCTCTCAGCTACTCTCAGATATCACCTAAAATAACATCGCCCTGAAACTGCTGGGATAGATTTTACTGCTTGCTGTATAACAAATGGATTAGTATTTTCGTAGACACGGTTAATCCTCTTTTAAACGCTTCCAAGATTATTACGATTATTTTGCCTTGATTTCGGTCAATCATCTCTTCTCATTATTTGCCTCATCTTTGGATCCAGCGGATCTGAAAATGGTTCTTTCTTGTAAATTATGGAAATATTATTATATGTGTAAATTGTGCTGCCACTTATATTCGCATGATTTAGGAGGAATTGTTTATAGGGAAATAATATAGGGGGTATAGGGGTTTAATTAATTATAAATTCAAACAATGAAAGATACTTTTCTATTCTAAAATTTATTTAAAGAAAAATTATTTAATATTAAAATTGTCAACATTATGTAACTTAAGTTAAAAACTCAAAAATTTCACAATATATTATTCAATTATCAAATTTACAAAATAATACAATGAAGGATTAAATCGAACTATAATTAGGAAAATTCTTTTAGTATATTTAGATTATTTTTTTTGGTTCATAATTACCTATCGGTCTATAAAATTAAATTTCTGATTTTGATCATATCTACATTGTATTTATAGAAAAACAAGTTGCAGCTCAAAAATTCATCCTAATTGCAGAAAAAACATATCAGTGTACAGATTAGAGTCTATATACAAAGAGGAGGGTATATCATTTCTGAGGACGGTTATTTGCTGAAAATTTTTGAAATCTTCTTTATCTGTGCCATTCATTTACGGCTGCTATGTGCGCAAATATATGTTTTGCATCTGTACGAGTAGAAAATGTGACACTGGAACCACATAGGGGTTACATTCGACCCCCCGTGCGAAGATTCTGCAACGTCGTCACGTGGGAATTCAGACACGCGTTTCTGTTCCCTGTCGATCGACCCTTTCGTACCCCCGTTGTTGTTACTTTCTGTGTCACTGTCAGCCTTTTTTGCTCTCATTGACGTAACGGGACATTGCGATGCTGAATGAAAAACATTTCATGCAACAACTATCACGAAAAATAGATAGACTAGTTTTCAATAGTACGTTTTCGTATTAATCATTTTCGCATTGAAAATGAAAAAATAGATTGACTACAAGAAAATTTCATCCTTTAAATTATTCATAGTAATTAAATTTTATAGTGCACTGTAATATTTATTGAATAATTCTTAATTTATTTATTAAATAATGTCTAAAATATTATTTCCAAATAACTAAATATTTACCTACTACAAAATTTAGCAGCAGCCAATAGAAAAAATTTATTTTGAAATTAACGTCACTGCATTCCTATTTCACCCCCGATC